TCATAAATGGCAATATTAGGAACATCGTCCTGTGTTGATATATAATAGATACTTAGGCTTCTGGTTACAACTTGTATCTGTTAGATTATACCAATCAATGTTTTTACAATTTTGATTGACTATGACATTACTTAGGCTTCTGGTTACAACTTGTATCTGTTAGATTATACCAATTAATGTTTTTACAATTTTGATAGACTATGACATAGTCAATCAAAATTGTAAAAACGTTGACTGGTATAATCTTACAGATACAAGTTGTAAATTATTATTTTTTAATAATAATATACCCTCAAGTCAATTCTGACTAGAGATGGGGATATTCATATTCGTATAATGGAATATGAATGTTTAATGGAACCCGCCCTGAGTAGACTTTGCCGGGGGGCGGGGGGCAGGATAGAAATCTAATAAATAGTATACAAATATCCCCGCACAGATGGAAATAACGACTGTCCATTCACGATTTTGCCGCTGATGTGAGCTCATAGGACCTTCCTATCGTGCTGTTGTCCACAATCGATTACCCAATCATGGCAGGAGGCAGGATGACAAGCCTCTCTGCTAGGTCGGAGAGTGGCTAATCCATGGTGGAGAATGGCGCAATAGGAAGCCTCTGCGGAGCCAGCGGCAACTGCGAAATCGTGAGTGGACAGTCCTGCCTCATGGGACCAGACCCTTGTTATTTCTACGTGTGCAGGGATATTTGTATATAAATACCCCCATCTCTAATTCTGATTTATGGTGATCCTTTTCAGGCTTTTCCAGGTACGGAATATTCAGAAATAGTTTACCATTCCCTCCTTCTTGGGGTGGTGTGAGGGTGCCCTGGGACTGTGCAGCTTGCCCAAGGTCATACGGGCTGACTTTACTCGCAGGAGGCACAACTCCAAGCCTCTGATTCCACAGCCAGATACGTAAACCACCGAACTATCCAGCCAGCTCAATTAAAATACAGAAAGCAGGAAAATAAAAGAAGGTGGTAAGCCTTTGGGAATACGCTGTAGGAATAACTTTGTAGTATAAAGAACACAAAGCCTGGGGTGGGTGAGGATACTGGGTTTGATCAGCAGGGCACAAATCTATTGCTGCCAGGAATCCTGAGTTCTGTATTTCATCTGATTGGGTGTCGTGACTTATTTAGGGGCAGTACTGTTGGGTATTATTCACACAGTACCTTAAGGGGATGAAGTGATGAATGCAATCTGCAAGAAAGTTCTCCTGTGAAAGCCCCAAGCAAGAGAGGAAGAGAAAAACAGGTGGGAAATATGGGCACATAAAAGTAAAAACAGAGAGATTCCAATAAAGATTTAAAGCCTTGCAAAATGGGCTTAAAAACCTTGAAGGATACTACTTTAAAGCCTTCCTTGAAGGCACTCAGGCACTGCCCCCTTCAAAAGCAAGGTGCATCACGAAAAAAGGACAAAGGGGGACATGTTACATATATAGACGCAACATATCTTGCATCTGTTACTGTATGTTGTGTCACTTTCCACAATATCATGTGTATCGATGCAAATATAAACATGATGATCAACAATGGAATAGAAAACT